ACATCCCCAAAATCACTTGCTGGGGTTCAGTGAAGCCCAGCATGCAGACAGCTCCAGGTCAGGTGATCAGAGCTGGCCAAGGGCAGCAGCAGATGGATGCTCCTAGGGGCACTGAGGCCATTCTACTGCAGTCCCACCTCCATGGCTCTGCTGGAAGGCAGCAGTGGAGGGCACAGCTCTGCTTTGGGCACAGCTGCAGGGAAGAGCAGACACAGCCCCACAGAGCCCAACAGCTCTCATTAGTGCTGTTCAGACATGACCGTTGCCCTCCTACCCTCCCTCACTGCACTTGGACACAAGAACATGAGGGTGTGAAGGTGGGGAGAACTCAGATCTCTTCAACAAGGGAAGGGATAGGGCAAACAAACCCTCTCCCTTCCTGCAGAGCTGGGGAAGGAAGGGTGCGAGCAGTGCGAGAGCCGCCGATAGGCGTGTGGCAGCACCCTGAAGTGCAGTGCTGCAGAGACCTCTTGCAGCACAGTGCTGCTACTGCATGCCTGCCTGCAGCCCAGCGTGGGAGAGCAGCACACTGCACACTGCTGCACATACAGCTCATCCAGTGCAAAGTGTCACCTGTGGACGGACACTGCCCTCGGTGGCTGCTAGCTCTGCTGCCCATCCAGCTGGCACATCCTTGAGGCTTGATCCTTGAAACCACCATGACGTGCAAAAGGCTCGCAAGCATCTCACCGCAGGGAGCTGCTTGCAGGGAAGGTGCTTTGCAGAGAGCTGCCCCACTTCATCAGGCATGTGGGGCGCTGCTCAGAGCCCCACATCTGCAGACTGTGAGCTCTGAGCGCATGAAGACAACGCAGCAGCCAGGTGTGCTGTCTGGTGTCCGGGGGAGAAACTGCGAGAGAGTTTTTAAAAAGAATAAGACAGCACGTCTACCAAGGTAAACATAAGAAAGTGCCACAGGAGGAACAAGAGGCCCTGTGACCAGCAGCAAATGTGACCTATAACTACCTGGCCTGAGCAGTGAGCAGGCTGGGATGCAAGGATGTGCAACCACGGAGCCGTTCCTGCTGTCAAAAAAGAAATGAAAAGAAATCAGGATGGCAAAAGACACCCGGCTGTGCCCTTTGGGACCACCAGGAGCAGCCCTGGCCGCCAGGATGCGGACACCAGAGGGACCCAGGTGGAAGGTGCACGGCCACTGCCACCATCACACGGCCACTAGGAGAGGACAGGCAGTGGTGGCACACCAGGACCTCCTCACCATGACCAGATCCTGCCCCTGCTCCAGCCCTGCCAGTACAGGGCCAGGTGTCCTTGCTGCACCCGCAGCCCCACTGCTCCTGCACAGCACCAAGCCAGGAGAGGGAGCAAACAGTGTGGATTCATGGGAGATGGAATGCTTTGTTCTTGGGGCTGGGACGTGTGGGATCTAGAGGCCATTTCCCAGCATTTTGCAAGTTAGGAGCAAATCCAACCCGCACTTGCCCTTGTAGGAGGGAGCCCTGAGCCTTGACACAAGCTCCCACCAACACCCCACCTGCAGAATGGCAGCCCTCAAACCAAAGTCTGTCTCAGCAATGAAGCCCTTCCCATTTCAAGCCCAGGGACTCTCCAGTTCATCCCACTGTTTCAGGCACCACCATAGACTGTATGCCCATACGCTGCTCATCCAGGGCTCTCACACCCAACAGAACAGCATATGCAGGCAATATGCAAACACTGTGTGCTCTTGTCCTGTACCAAGTGCTGTGTGAATATCAGTGAGTGGGTCCCAGAGGCACTCTCCCTTTGGAATCCTGGGACATTTCCAACCCCCAAACCTTCCTTCTGAAGCAAGAACGCACTCTGGCTGTGACCAAAGGTCCCCAGGGCCAGAACACTGGTGCTGCAAGTGGCATTTAAAGCAAAAGAAAAATACAACTCCATTGATCTTACTGAAACCAAGTCCAACCCTGATGGAAACAGCTGATGAGCACAGTGTGCTGGCTGGCACCACTAAGCAGAACTCCCCTTGCAAAGCCCTGAGCCATGTTTGCACACACAGACCAAAGCACCTGCAGCACGGCCTGCCTGTGCTGCTGCTCAGTGCCCAGGAGACGATGCGTGCTTGGTGCTGCTCTGCTTCAGAGGTGGGTGTTCAGCACACAGCGAGGCACCCCAGTGCACCCAGACCCATCCTTCCATGCAAAGAGTGATGCAAAGGAAGGTGGTGTGGTAGCATGCTGAGTTAGGCTGCATCTGCTCCACATCTTCAATGCCATCCTCCCGGAGCACCACGCGAGCCTTGCTTGGATCTGGGAGACACCTCCCTTCGACTGGGATGACAGAGCAGCCCAGCAGGTTGCATGCCCCTTCCCAGGACTTCCCCACACCTCCTTGGGCACTGGGGCACCACAAGATGCTGCTGCAGCTCAGCCCATGTCAGTCTGAGCAGGAAGCAGCTGTGCCCCGCTCCTGTTTGCTGGCTGTGACTCGCGGCTCCCCACTGATCTGCAACTCCGAGTGATTCACACCCGGTCTCTCCCCCTCAGTGCCCACTCTCCGGGATTGTTCTCAGCCGGATGTGCTCTGAATGAGCAGCTGCCCTGCGCGAGTGTGCCATCATCATTGATTATGTTTGTAATTTTTATTGGAATACTCATCGACGAACAACAGCCAGCAAGCGAGCGCTGTGCCGAGGGCAGATGGGCACAACGGGATGATGCAGCGCAGCTCTCATCCACCTCCACCCGTGCTTCCTTAGAAACACGTTGCCACTGAGATCTGCAGCACCTTTGCTGCCTTCTTTAGCCCTTTTGTGAATGGTGACCCACCTGCTGAACGGCTCCCACCCTTTTTTTTCCTCCTGTTCTTGAAGCATACGTTGTAAACAAGAATCACAGAACGATCGGGTTGGAAAGGACACTAAAGATCTCCCAGCCCCAGCCCTGCCATGGGCTGTATCCCCCAGCTCAGGCTGCCCAGTGCCCATCCGTAGCAACAGACGCCTTCAGGGACGGAGCACTCACAGTTCTGGGCAGCAGATGGAATCAGGGCAGGGCTGACCGTGGGCATCCAACAGATCCAGCAGGTGCTTGCGTGCTTCAGGACAAGATCCAGTGGTGGGGGTAACACAGGGATGGGGAAGGGATGGCTCTCACCACTCAGAAACCACAACCCCATGTTGTGCCCCTCGCAGTGTGGGTCCCTGCACAGCCCCAGCCTGACACGTGCCCCACACCAAGGGACGCGTGCGGCTGTGACAGCGGCGCAGCAGTGACCAAACGCTCCCAGCTCTCAAAGACGGGGACTGTGCCAACGTCAGCAGCCTGAGAGCAGTGCAAGGGGAAGGCTCATCAGAAAGAAAATTCATTCTGACAATCACAGAAATCGGAATTCATTTAAAATTCAAATTATGCAAATTCCAGTAATCCCTACATGCAGATCCATCACATGCCAGCAGTGGGACGGCAGACACACCACTGGCTGCAGCTCGCAGAGATCCATCCATCACCAGCTCTGCAGACTGTGCAGGGCTGCAGGCAGCACCCACCGGGTCCCCCAGCACTGGCACCAAAGGGAAAAGCTCCCATACCCCCACGGGCACAGGGTGCAGGCCCCAGGGGCTCCCATGCCAGCTGCAGGAAGTCCTCTCGTGGAGAAAGCATGGGTGAGTGCTGCAAATATGAAGCCTCCATTGGGCAGAGCCCCAAAAATGGGGACCCCGCTTCATCTGCACCCGGCCACAGCATCAACACCTTTCAGCCACAAGGACAGAGGAACAAGGACACAAGGAAATAAAAGTCATACAGAAACCCTGCCGCGTTCCTATCAGCCCTGTGGATGTACCCTGGAGAGCTGAAGGTCACCAAAACCGACGAGCAAAAGCCCTCATGGAGGCAGAGGCCAAAAAGAACCACACACAGAGCACGGAGAGCTGGAAGAGAGCACAGTGCCCACTACTTACCCCGCAGCAGGACCGCCCCAGCTGTACCCTGCAGTCCCTCAGACCCCACATCCTGCTGCTGCTATTGCTGCTGCTGCTGCTCATAGCCATTCCCGATACTGCCACTGCCTTCCCCAGCATAGGGCAGCAGCTCTGGGTTCCCTCTCACTGGATCCCAAGTGCTGGATCCCAACCAGCTCCTGCAAAGTCCTTGCCACAGGAAGGATCAGCACCAGGGAGCACACAAGCCACTACATTCAGTGGTGCTGTCCATGCAGTGCAAGGGGCAGGAATGAGCCCTATGCAGCACCCCACACATTGCAGGGGGCAGCCTCCAGACCCAGCCTGTGCCAGCAGGTGGATCAGCCCTTCCTTGGGGAAGGGGGGAAGCAAACAGACCCAGGAGCAGCAGGTTTATGAAGATGCATTGCAGCTGCCCATGCCTCGCAGCAGGTGAGCCCTGCCAGCCTGGGCTGATCGCCTGACAGCACTTCAGGTTACACTGGCGCACAGCGCCTGTTCTGCTCCCATTGTAGCAAAGCCCTCATCCATTTCCAACCAACGCCGGCTGCCTTTCAATGCAAGGACACCCAAGCCCTCATTACAACCCCAAGCCAGTAACGAGGCGGGAGGAAGGCCACACAAAGCTCTATATCAGGTGTCTGTAGGAAAGGGAAGACACAGAGCCCATTAAACATTGATGGGGAGCGCACAGCACCCGCAGAGCAGTGGGAGGAGGGCTGCCCCAGGAGCTGGGGGCTGCTCCCTGCACACCCTGCAGCCCCGAGCCCTTGGAAAGGCCCAAGTGCTGCGTGTCGAGGCAGAGCAGTGCCCACTCCTTTTTGCCTTGAGCCCCTTTTTGTTGCGAGCAGAGGTGAGGCGATGGGGATACCCGCACTGTGCACTGCCTGGTGAGCAGCAGCCACCCAACCCTATAGCAGTGCTGTGACTAGGAGCCACAGAGCCTGCCCAGCATAGCAGGTGTGGGCAAACTGAGCATCATCAGGCCGAGGAGAGACGTGTCTTTTGTTTTGTCATCCACGCATACAGCCAACCCTCTGCCATGCCAGTGTTTTGCAAAGCCACGTGGGTGGGTTGCATCACCCCAAGTACTCACAAACTGCCGCCGCAGCCGGGTCCGGACACGCTCAGCCTTGGTCTCAGCGGGATGCACGGCGTAGCCCAGCGAGCCCAAGTGGTTGTCAACAGAGAGGCTCTTCCGCATGTAGAAGGAACGCATCCGAAAGTGGCTGAACGGGGCGTCCTCCACCGCCGTGCGGAGCTGCGGCTGCAGCGGGGCATCGCCGGGGGGGTCCATGCCATCGTCCTCCAGCCGCCAGGCGTCCCCTGAGGACAGAGGGACAGAGGGACAGCCGCCCCGTCAGAGCTGTGCTCACCCCTGGTTGCACGCCCAGGATGAGGGTGGAGATGCCCACCCAGACCTCCTCCATGCATCCCACCGCAGGGCACGAGGGCTGAGTGCTGCCCCATGGGAGTTCACGTCCCTGCCACAAGTCCCAGGTGTTCCCACCTCATTCAGCAGCTCCCAGCCCATCAGAGCCCAACGAGGCAAACTCCTCTCAACTGTTTCCACCCATTCACTGCTCTTTGGGGTCTGGGACCACCGTCCCCAGAGCACAGAGCACTGCAGCACGCAAGGCTGGGACAGTGCTGAGCGCTCCTCGCTGCACTAAAAGGGAAAACAGGCAAAGCACACAGGTGACATCTCCATAGCATCACTACTTCCCAAGCAGCCCGGGTACGGATACTGTGTGCTTCTTGCTGCCTGACAGACAGTGAACTTTCCTCTTCCACCTCCTCCCCCCCCCTCCCCCGCAGCCCAAACTGCTTCTCAAAAGCAAGAACAAATGAACAAAGCAACCCCGTGCTCAACCCTGCAAAACCCAGGCCAGCAGCACAAAGGCAGTGGTGAGGGCTGGTGCTGCTGCCTGCTCCTGCGGCTGCACCGCTTTGTTGGCTTTCTGAGCAGCCCAGCGTTGGGGGGCACAATACCACAACCAGGGCTGGGGAGCAAAGTCCTTCAGAGCTGAAAGCAGATAAAGGCCTTAAGGAGAAAAACAGCCAGAGTGAAGGCGAGTGAAGAAGAGAAAGGAAGAGGCTACAGCTGCCAACAAAGGCGACCCGGAGCAGTGCAATACCTAGGAGCTATTTTTATTATTCTTTTTAGCCCTGCTCTGAATTTAATCAGCTGCGCCGCTCCTCTCCAAATGTCAGCTCGTACAACACAGGAGCGGCTGTTTGAAAGCTGTGATTACTCCAGGCACAAACACGTCAATCGGGACCAGCCCTGGCTGCCACCACACAGCAGCCCCACACAGATCGGGCTGCAAGGCTGGGGCAGCTCCCAGTGGCAGGGCACCGTGCATCCCACGGCCCCATTCACCCCCCACACCATGACATCCCGCAGTGGGACAGCTGGGAGCACGCTGAGCTGCTCTGGAATTGTCACCTGCTCGGGTACAGTGGGTGTAGGGAGGCAACACACAGGAAATCAGGACCTTACCTCCTCCAAAACAAGGACAAGAGGGAATAACCTGAAGTTGCGACAGGGTTGGATATTAGGAAACATTTCTGCTCTGAAACAACCTTGATGCACTGGTATGGGCTGCCCGAGGAATGCCAGGGGCTTTGCTCTGTACCAGGATTCAGATCTCCACCGTGCATCCAGGTCTGTCCTTGCCCACCCTGCCTCAATGGCCCTGAAGCTCCTGAGGGAGCAGCCCTGACCCTGCACAGCCACTGCCATCCCATCCCTCGTGTCCCCATGGGCACAGCAACCATCCACAGCCCTCCATCCCACGCCCAGACCTGCTGCGTCAGAATTAGGAGCATCAGGAAACAAAGCACAGTCTGCAGAGCATTAAAATTAATCCAGGGCTCGGCCAGCTGCTGGGTAGCTTGCAGCAATCTGACAGTGAGGGCGTTAGATTAAAAAAATAATAAAAATCTTTAAAAAGTCAAAGGGTGTTGGGCAGAGGCAGCTGCTTTGTAGGGGTTTTATTTTGCACTGGATTGCCAGCCCTGGCTCACGAGCTTTATCTCTGTTTCAGTACTAATCACCTTCCCCATCACTCCTATGGCCCCAGCGTGACTCTGCTGGCACCAGAAGCGTGAAACACTTTGCCCATCAGTGCTTTTGCCAATAAAATTGCTCAGAGCAGCTGGGCCAGCCGTATCAATATTTCATCAGGACCAGCGCAAGAGCAGAACACCACAAAAGCCTCAGTTGCCAAGAAGGCCAACCCCAACCCCTGGGTGGGGAGCATCCATCACAGCGCATCCCCAGGGCAGGAGCACGGGAAGGTGGAGCAGCGCCACTGTGCCCCTGCTCCCCAAGGAGGGCAGCCAGCTCTGCCCTGAAACCACTGCATGCCAGAGCACAGAGGCACCTGGGCCCACTGCAGAGCTCAAAGGAGTGAGGAGAAGCAGCTCGCTGGGCTGGAGCTGAGCACCATCTCCAAGTGGGGGTGCCCTCCTGAGCCCCCCTCAGCTTTGTCACCAACGTAATGAAAGACGGAAAAGTTTAAACGACGGCCTCAAGGAAAGGCTCAGAGATGGGCAGGCAAAAAAATCATCGAGAATGGCAGATCTGGGAGCAAGACAACTCCATAGGGAGCAGTGCTGGGATTTGCCTGGTTGGCAGTGCCTCTGGAGAACCAGGCCGCATTCGACAGAGGTTTGCAGACCCCCGTGCACTCACCAGCAGATGGGACCGTGCAGCCCTTCTGGCCATCAGGGGCTGAGTGCTTCTGGTAGGGCTTCTGCTCCGGCATCGCCTCCCGGAATGCTGCAGAGTCGAGGAGGGGAATCCTGCTCAGCACTGGGGACTGTGGGATGCTGGGTAGCGTCCGGGACTTCCCCAGGAGCGGCCTCTGCAACTTTCTGTCCAGGGATCTGCAAGGAGAGAACACAGGGCTCACTGCAGGCCCAGGGATGGCTGCTTTGAGTCACGTCCTTCCCTGCAGGATGCTTTGCCATGTGCTGCCCCTGGATGGGGCACAACACCAAAGTGCAACCCCGGCTTGCAAGGCTGCAGCCGTTTGGGCAAACCTTCTCCTTTTGCATTCTGATTGGGATTTGCATCTTGAGCTGCAAGCCACAGTCAGCACCAACAGCACATCGAGCACTCAGCACCTCCAAGCCAGTCCATCTTCAGACGCATGGATAATCAGAAATGAGCAAATAAACCAGAGGCACCAGGACTGAAATGATACGAATTGTGAACAAGAGAATGAAAGCTCTGCCCGCCCTCCGCTGCAGCTCTGTGCCTCATCCCACTTCCACCACGCCATTCTGTCAGACCTCAAATATTTCCTTCTTTCTTGCATGTAAGTCTCAGTGCTCCTCCAAATGTGCCTGCACACAGCTCTGTTTGCTGCAGAGCACCATCAGCATGCGGGATATTAACGTTGCTTTGTACCTACTGTGCTGCTCGCATGGACTACATGAGGGTCAAAGGGGTGAACTCGTGCTGTTGGAAGAGAACTTTGGAGCTGCAGACAACGATTTCTATTTCAACCCCTAACCTGTTTCCATCTGGAATCTGACTTGAATCCCCAAGCAAAGGCAGTGCTGGAGATGCACCGTGCATTGTGCCACGGCCAGCAGCCAGTGCTGCTGCTGGGACATCGTGCAGCACCGTGCGCTTCGTGAGCCGGCCCCAGCGCCGTGCGTTACCAAGGCTGCCACATGCCATTAGTAAAGAGCCTTGATGGGAGTGTACAGCTCAATTAGAAAAGCCATCATCAACACAGCTACAGCCCATCAACAGCAGCTGTTCAGTGCTTGGTGGAAAGGAGAGCGCATACGCAAGTCTTGCCGGCCCCATCGCTGCCAGGTTCTCTGCCTCCAGCTCTGGGAATGCCACAGGGTGAGGGCGGGTGGCACCAAGCTGATGGCACAGCACAGACCGCTCCGGCATCACCCATTCTGCAGCACCCAGGGCACAGGTGCTGCTTCCTCAGGCATTTATTGAAAGCAAACCACCCAGCCAAAGCAGCCACTGGAGCAAGGAAAAGCCAGTGCCTGCCCCACAGCCACGTCCTGGCTGGAGAGGTCCGCACCGCACAGCTTCATTGCTGCAGGGAAGGAGGGGAAGGGCTGAGCAGAGAGAAAAGGGAAGGAGGCAGAGAGAAGTCCAATGCAAGTCAGCCAGGGAAAGACAGCACTCAAGCACTGTCTCCACAAACCTTTCCTCCCGTTTTATTTCAATGTGGGAGAAACCACCCTCCAAATGGCCCTCCTCAGCACGGCCCAGGCTGGCTTGTCCTTGTTGTCAGAGGCAACACAGAGCCTCTGCCTCCCCCACGGCATGGATGGAATGACCCCAGGCTAACTAACCCTCCTATGGGACAGCACAGGGCTCACAGCTGCACTTCCTCCTCTGTCCATCAGCCATCTCGCCCTCAATCCGTCCATCCGCCCCCTAAATCTGCCATGAACCAGGAACTCATGAATCTGGGTGACCCACAGAGCACCCGGGTGGTGCCCCAATGAAGCAGGGATAGCTCAGCCCCTGTGGGCTGTGGGGATGTTCTGACACCACTGCAGCTCACTCCGAGCCCCACACTGCTGCCAGCAGAGCCTCCACCAAACTGCCTTTGTGCTGCTAGGTGCTACCAGGGGCTGAGGAGCAAAGGGGAGAGCTGAAAACACAACAGCAGCCTTGAGCTGGCTGCGAAACGGATTCAAAGCAAAACGAAACACACAAAAAAACACAAACAAAAAACCCCCCACAATAAAACAGCATTCAGCTCACAAGTTCAGAGAGAAAACAAAACAAAACAAAACAAAACAGCCAACAAATAAAACCACAACCAACATGTGAAGCTATAAAAAATACCTCCCCCAAAGCTCAGCTGTGTGCTGGTAAATATCATGATTTCCACCAGCTGGTTTGCAGAGCTCCTCTCCTGCCATCGCTCCGGGCTGACGAGCTTTGCACAGCAGGGGCCATCGGCCGGGCAACGACAGGAGGCAGCCGGGGCCAACGGCAGCAAACCACGACGGGACACGGAGCTGCTGCTCCCCCCGGTGCCCGTGCAGCAGTGAGGATACCGAAGGCGGCTGGGCTGCTCGGCAGGGGAACGGGAAAGCTTCAAGGGGGGGAGCAAACCGGAAAATGGCACGCAGCTCTTTGTTTTAAGCCATGAACCTCTCAGTCAGACACATAACAGGTTATGCTGAGAGGCAGGGAGAGCTGAGATGAGAACCAATGAGCATCCAAACCCTG